AATCTTCTGGCATATTCTTTTGGCAACTTGCACTGTTGCAAACAGCAAAAGTGGTTTATTTTAGCGTTCAGAATGAATGGCTTTGACAAACAACCACACGATTGGTTGTGTCTTTTGCACTGACAACTTAAGCCCTCCATTTCTGGAAATGTCCCTTTCCAACGGCTTACTAGAGTGGCTGAAAACTGTTTCATTTTTGCACAGTCGTTCAAGTTGTTTGCATGTGCACGTCCTACATGACCCCCACACTTGAATACTCGTTGTGGATTGGTCCCCAAAACTTCTTCTACAGAGTTTTTGGAGCTCGAATCGGAATCCTGCCATACAATTGCAATGTCTGCTCCTTCCTCCTTGCACTGCCTGTAGCACTCTTCTGCAAGGACTCCTTCCATGGACTTTGCAGTGCCTTCATACAATTCTTCATCATCATTATCAAAGTAAGACATTATTTCCTTGTGTCTGCAGTGGACAGGATTTCCAAGCATGCAGATCAAATCATTGAGAGCTTCACATTGCGATTTGAAAACATCTTGCTGTTTGTCAAACAGTTTGTAAAGAGACAGTTTGTCTGGGTAGTGCAAGTATAACCTACAACATGCAGGCTGTCCATCTCTGCCAGCCCGGYCACATTGTTGAAAATACTCATCTACACTTGTAGKAATTTTTGCATGGACCACAAAACGCACATCTTGCTTGTCTATGCCCATACCAAAAGATGAATTTGCAACAATAACATTCACTTCRTTGAGCATCCATTTACTATGACTATTTGCTTTTACTTGGTCTGATAACTGYCCATGGTATTTAACAACAGATACATTCCGCTTGGTAAGTTCCTCGTGAACTTTAGAAACATCTTGAGCAAGTACACAKTAAACAATCCCGYATYGACCTTCTCTTTCTGTAATGAATGCAGATAARTCATCATAAAACTTTGACGGTCGCTCAAMCACTTCCAGCTTTAAATTACTTCTATAAAGGGTGGTTCTTTTCACTTCAAAATTACCAAAGATTTTTTTCAAAGCCATCTGAACTTTAAATGGAATTGTTGCACTCAATAAAAGTTTAGGGCATGATAAAAAAGATAGTTTTTGGGCAACTTCCTTGTAGATAGGACGAAAGCTTTCGCCCCAAGTTATTATGGTGTGTGCTTCATCAAAGACCACACGTTCAAACACCTCGTCCTTTTGTATGAGTTCTAGAAGTTTTCCTTCATTTAAAATTTCGGGAACACAGAAAACGACTTGATATGAGTGTATACATTTAATGTTCTCTTCCAATTCTTCTTTTGGAACGTCACCAGTAAATTTACAGGCCTTTATGTCCACCTCCTTACAACGTACGAGAAGGTCTTCTATCAAAGACTTGATCGGGGAGACAACAAGAGTTGGCTTTGAAGATATCACTGATGGAAGCATGAACATTAATGATTTTCCTCCTCCAGTCTCAACTATTGTCAGTACATTTTGTCCATTTAGGATGCTTGTAATAGTCTCCTTTTGTAATGGCCTGAAGGATTGAAATCCGAAAAACCTCCTTAAAGTTTGATCGATCAAATCACCCGCCAAGGCGTCATCTGCTACAACATGACTCAATTCTGTTTCCATTCCGTCTGCCTCGTCATCTCTGTCAACATATAATCCCAGGCATTCAATATTCAAAAGTTCAGGAATAACAGAACCATTTAGGCAACCAAAGCGATATCTGTGACAACAATTTGTGGTTAGGTTTCGAATCGACAACGAGTCGAAATCTTCTACATCAAGGACATTCAAAGCTTTAAAAAAATGACCAACTTTAACTGCTGCTTCGAATATCGAAGAAGCCAGAACTTGCGATTGTATCCCACATCCATCAAAAGCAAAAGTAGTTTCAGTCTCAGGATCAAAAGAGGGAATTTGCACGAGTTTCTCAAGTTYTGTTACAACATCCGCCATTTTGCCATACATAGTATTCTGCCTAACCCTAGTCCTCCTWAAAACTTTTTGTCACCTGAAGTCCCCCACTATCCCCCACACGTAATAGATTTGTATGCGCGAAGCTACCTGCGCAGAAGGCCATTAGCATGTCGAAATTTGGCAGGCATCACACGCTTCCCTTTTCTCGCCCCCATTCTCCCTCTTTTGACTCCCAAAAAAGACAGGAATCCCGTGAGTCTTTGTGATTCTTTGTGATGCCTGCGGAGGAGGCTAATTTTTGTCCACCTCTGACAATTTTCTATTGCGTCAGACTTTGAATAGGAGAAAACAACTGCCCACACAAACAGTAGAAAGTTACGCTGCAGACATAGACACAAGTGTCGTAGGTTAGGAAAAGGCGATAACGAAGCTTTACATAAATTTATTGAAGGATTAAAACCTGATCTTCAATCGTATGTTATTCTTAACCAACCTAAAACTTTGAGCGAGGCTGAAAGTTTGGCAAAAGCTAAAAGTGCAGTTCCAACTCCTCCCTCTCTCACGGCAGAGGATGTTTCGAAAATCCACAAAAGTTTCCTAGCGGAACTGGATTCAAAGAATTAAGAAAATTTAACATGGAGTCCCACCCTAGGAATCAGTATTTTCCAAATAGACAAAACCGCCCAAAGTTTAGACCAAATTCTAGGGGTGATTTTGGCAGACCCATTTGTAGTACATGTGGAGTAACAGGACACCACAGTCGTAATTGTAATCGACGGCCTGATCCACGTTTGCCACGTCGGCAAGGCATTTTAGCAATCCACCAGCTCAAAATCCTCGGGCTAGGCTTCCTAATCCTCCCCAGGGAAACTAAGGGCTCCCTCGGAATGCCGGGAAATTCGTAGGGACCAAAAAAAACCAACACGCCATGTTAACTCTAATCATACGTCTAATTTAAACCACTTTAGGAGAAATGCTAGTAATAATTACCTTTTTAAGCCTACAAATCCATGTGACGTTTACACTTGTACCATTGATGATACCGATTTTTATGATAATTTTGACACTTCCCTTGATGTTTATGATGATGCTTATTATGCTAATGATCGCCCTGTCAATTATGTCACACCACAGCCACGTGTGAATGTTTCACCTCGCACTCCTGTCATGCCACATCCTCATAATGTCACACCATGTCATGATGCCACACCTCAGCCACACCCTGATACACTCTCACCACCCATTGACATCACTCCACACTTATCTAATGATACTTCAGCATACATTGATATTAGTTCACAGTCATACACTGATGATAACTTAATACAATTTGATTGTGACACATCTGCTGATGATCAAATCACACCAGAATTGACAGTTGATGCCATGCTTCAAATACACTCACTTGATGACACACCTTCACTTCGTCCACACATTGTTCATCCACAAGCTCCAACTCATGTGACATCCTCACTTCATAATTCCATATCCATTTTTGAGCCACCAGATACCAGTGCAATCGCGGACACTGTTATCTCAAATGCTACAATTGTAGACCCACTAGCATATTCTGATATCATTCCTAATTTATCTACCAATACTAGTGTAAGTAATCCACATGCCTCGTCGCAAGTCAATGATATTGACCATATTAGTTCAACTAATCAACATAATCGTATTTTTAAGCACAGTCTTATCATACCTGATCGATTGCCACATGTTACAATACCTATTGAGCCTGATATTACCAGAAATAATTTTTTACAAAAGAGTGAACTGTACCAAAATACGGCCGAAAGTATGCCGCTACAACCAATTAACGAAGTTTTATGCCATGAAGTTCCTATAATTATGGATCAAGAGGATCCCTCGTTAAAGCAAAAGCAAGCCATTGCTACAGAAGATATTAACACAATTTCGTTTACAAATGAAACTAAGAATTTATCTATTCATGGAAAGATTACCAATACGCCATATGTTTTTCTTTGTGATACAGGTGCATCGCACACCATAATTGATGAAACAGTCTATAATGACATTATTAAAGTTCAAAGTTTTCCACTGATCACGCATTCAAGTAATACATTTCGATCAGCCAATAATCAACATATAAATGTTTTGGGGCATACTGAAATTCCTTTTGAAATAGACAATAAGATTTATACATTCCAAACATTTGTTGCTAAAGATTTAGCTTATAAAGTCATATTGGGTAAAGATTTTTTGGATCATTTTAATGCGATAATCGATTTTCACCACCACACCTTAGTTTTTCAACCAAATCAATCACATACGGACAATAACTCATGTAAAGTGCATGCTGATCAAACATATCACTTGCCTCCTTTGTCTGAAACAATAGTAAGAGCTTATCTCGCTAATCCTTTTGATTCGGGATCTGCAGGTCTTGTTGAACCCAAGATTAGTCTCATTGAACGATATAATATTTGCGGCTCATCATGTTTAGTCACAGTTTCGGATAATGGTACTATTCCGTATAAGATTTTAAATCGTAACTCTCCTGGTACGATTTATCATCATACTACACCTGGAATGATGCTAATGTCTCTAAATGCCCTTATCTCAGAACTACTCCACTTGTAGAACCTGTTGACACACCTCCACCTATTTCTCGTACTTCGACAAGAAACCTCGTTCTGTTATTGATGATAGCTGTGCTGATTGCAACAAACCAATTGATATTCCACTCTAACCTCTCAACCAAGATTCTCCAATTGAAGAAGATTCTCCAAATGCGTAAGACAAACAATGAACACTAATTATTTGAACTCTGATATATGTTATTAATGTTATATCAGCAAGCAGTATTTGCATCTTCATTGTAATACCTTTCTTTATATTTTATGGTGTTGGGAACCATATATCTACATATTTATGGTAGGATTTCTTATTATTATTATTGGTATAATTATCAGTATTGTTTTTTTTTTGTTGTTTTGCTTTATGGTCATTTATGAGTGGTTATAACAAGTTTAC